GGCTTTTGGGATCTGGAGGAGTGTGATCCAAATACATGCGGGGCCGTTGAGATGGCTTGTCCTGTAGGGGATTGGGCTACTTGTAAGAGTTCATCCTTATCTTGTTGTTATATTCTTATCCTCCGTCTTAAGCGAATGATTCTAAGGAAGCAGCACAACTGAAACAGATAGGAGAACTATGGTACAAGAGCCTTCATGTGAGCCAAACCTTCTCGTTACAGCTCGAGCTAATGTTTATTAGACAATACATTGGCACCTAGACAAGACTCTGAAAGCGGCTGGACGATCTGAGAAGGAAATTAAACTCTTACAAATGAAGAATGATGATGGTAGGTTAAGTATCATCTATCCGTTTTGAGTGCTAAAATATATCAGAATTTCGTGATTTCAAGCATCGCATGGCCCTGCGAATCCGTGTCGTATGGGGACAGACCAAAACGGCACAGAATGCTGAATCCAACGAAGCTACAACGACAGGAGAACAATATGATGATTCTTCTGAGAATACGGGATATAAGTTGACGAGGGTGTTTCGTGACAAGGATGAATGGAGGGCCCGTAATGCAGCACTTCGAGCCGCTCTGACCACCGATATGGTGGGACTGCTAACGACACCGGGATATGATCCCATAGAAGAGTTATAGTCTCTTTCTACCGCTCTGTAAATTCCAAATGTGTTTAGATTCAAGACTGGCGTCGACATGATTTGTGCTTCGGAGTTTGCTGCATGAAGTGCTCTTTAGTCTCGTCTGCGCGCCTAATCTAGTACAACTATCAACTTCATCGACTGCGGATCGATAAAGAGACCAAGAAGAGTGGCTATCTTGAGGATCATCCGACCAATAGACTGGCCATATTCACTCTTGAACCCGACCTGGCCGGTGGCTAGATATAAATGAAGCGTCTCTGGCCCTCTCGACTATATACCAACAAGACCAGCTCCTACTCTTGGGAAAATGTCTGAGGAGGTTCTCCGATCAGCCAACTCTGGTGACACTAACTATCCACTACTCCACGGTAAGTAAGATCGTGAAATTAGGAACATTTAACTGACCAAGGTGACAGAGTCACGCGAATATAGTAGACTGTACGTTGCATATACCCATCTGATCTCAGACTAAGATGTCTCCAACCTAGCGATACCCAACATGAAGCACACAAGGCTACTATGGGCGGCCTATATCCTGAGCTTGCCGAGATAAAGTCCTCGAGGTCTTAACAGTATCCTCTGGAGAGGCAAAAAGGATATTAGATCTAGGTAACCAGCTCATCAAAATCG